TGTGTACAACAATCAGGATTTTCACCACAGGGACATACGGGGTAACGGTAATCCCATTCAGCAATACATCACCCTCTTTGTGCTTCAAACGCTCCATCACAGTAGTTACTTGCTCTTGTTCCATTAATGACACATCATAGACACCTCTCGAGGGAAAATCGTGGACGCAAAAAAGCCAGGATCTTGGGACCTGCAATAAACCTTCCAATAAGTCCTTCTGGATCACATGAAGTCCAACCGCATTTCTCCTTACTCCATCAACAAGAATCTGAATCGATTTTGGATACGAGGGAGCACCTCTATCCATCTTTAAATCACTTCTCGTTCCCAGTGAAAGCGCAGGTCGCCCCCCAATAGCAGCATCCAAGCCACACCTCCACAAGGAAGACGCAGCTGGAAGGCAGAGGGGCTTGCATTGCCAACACCGGGACCTCTTGACCAGACCAGCTTTTACACTTTATCTTAGCCAAAAGGCCGAGAAGCGATAACCGGAATGGGTGCCCAGCTACTCACCTTCTATTCACCTGGGCTTCAGCTTGCGGTGAGCCTTGGGCACAGTACCACCCACCTCTTCCTCATCTAGGTTTAAGCTGGCTACAAATAGCAACAGAGACACAGTCAGTCACAGAGCACACAACCTCTGAGCCCTGGAAACACAGTTCCCATTCTTAACCTTGTCCAGTTCCCATTCTTAACCTACACCCATTCTATCTAACACTTTAAACATAAAATCATGCGCTACCCTATCATATGCCTTCTCAGTCGATAGTCGCAACCGCTACTTCTTGCTTTCTTTCCATACAATCCCACAACACATCTCTCAAATTGCAGAGGGCTTGATATGTTTGTCTCCCAGGTACTGCACATACTTGCTCCTCACCAACCATATCTCCAATCACATCTTTCATTCTGTTTGCAATTACTTTGGCTAAAATTTTATAATCTGTATTCAGCAAAGTTATAGGTCTCCAATTTTTCAAATCTTGTTTATCACCTTTTTTTTAAAATTAAAACAATCACACCTCTCTTCATTGATTCAGTCAACTCACCCATATATAAAACCATTTTACATAAATCCAGAAAATCATTTCCAATCACCTCCCAAAACAACCTATAAAATTCAATTGCAAACCATCACATCCGGGCATTTTGTTTAGTTTAAAATTATCAATCGTACTACGTAATTCATTCTTATCTATCTCTCTTGCCAAACTATATTCATCCTCATTCCTTACACCTCTCAACTTTTTCCAACAAATCATTCTCCAACTTCACATCCCTTTCCCTATCAGTATATAACTTTTCATAAAAGCCTTTAACTTCGTTTAACATTAAATTTTTTCCCGTTAACAAAACCCCATCCTTATTCAAAATACCATCCATACCTTGCTTTCTTTTATACACCTTTTTGAAAAAACCTCGTACACTTTTCATCTTTATCAAAAACATTCATCCTAGCAACAAATACAATCTTCCGTCCTTTTTCATCCAAGCACTTCTTCCTTTCTTCCCTTGCTATCTCTAACTCCTCATTCACTTCCCACCCCAACTCTCTCAATTTACACAAATAATCAATCCTTTTCCTAATATCCTCAAAACATTCTCTTTCTCTCTTAGCTTTCACTCTGCCTTTACGAATAAAAAAATCCTTTTTTTTATTTCACCCATTCCCACCAATCAAGTATACATGCAAACTGATTTTTACATTCTCTTCACCTTTTATACATCACTAAATAATTTTCTTTTATTTCTTCATCTTCTAACATACTCACATTCATCTTCCAACAGCCTTTTCCAAACTCCATGCGCACCTCCATACGAACTTTACCTTCCAACATCACATGATCGGAAAATTGAACATTGTGCATAAGAAGACATTCTGCCATATCACCCTGTGAAACAAAACAATAATCAATACGTGATTTAACAGTCCCCTTATCACTAAAATACGTATACACCTCATTATCTCCTGTGACTTTCACCATATCAATATAATCAAAATCCCTAATCAAATTAGCCAACATCCTACCTGATTTGTCTAATTTATAGTCATCACTCTTACCCACCCTGTTCTCCCTCTGTATAATACAATTAAAATCCCCTATAAGAAAAGTAAACTCCCTTCCCGGCTAATACATACTCAGACACTCAAACACATCCAATCTTTCATTTCTATTAACCGGTGCATATATATTAAAAATCCTAAACCTTGTGCCCCTAAACAAAACATTTACCAACAAAACCCTACCTGACACTATTTCAATTACATTAATTATTTTAAATTCCCAACCCCTAAATAGAATCGCTACACCTAAATTTTTCCCATCACCACAAGAAAAAATTATTGGTCCGAAATTCCAGGAATATGACTGTGGGGTCTCCTTCAAACAACATTCCTGAAGACAGCAAAAGGAGAAATTAAAACTTTTTAAATACTCAAAAATCAATGCTCTCCTTTTGGCAGAAAGAATACTTCTCACATTTAGTGAGCAGAAATTAAACATGAATCAGAGGGAAAAAAAAAACCTCATCACTATTCACGTGCCACTGTCCGTATCAACAAATTTTTCAGAGCTTTGTGAATACCATGAAAAGTCAACCAGTCTTGACACGTCTCGTATCAAACAAAGGTACTGCAGAACTGGAAGTGTCACCCTCACAGCCGGACACTCTTCCTGGGGACGCTTCCCTCAGCACCTTCTGCAATTCCTTAGATAGCTTACGCACTTTTTTCACCAGATGAACAGTTTTTTCCTGTTCCTCGTTTTCCGAATCTACAGTCGAAGGACCAGCCACCACTTTTTCCACCTCCATTGACTCACCTTCGACCGTACTCTCCATAACCAGAACTGCCTCTTCACTGGCTTTCTTTTTTGCCAGATCCTCGGCCATAATCCGAGCATGACAAGCTTCATGCTCCTCTCTCGATTTCAAACTGGTACCAAACGTAGGAATGAAAGGAATCAAGACTTTCTTTCCAGCTATTTTCCTTTCCTCAGTTTCACCCACCACCGTGCTCTCAGAAACCTTCACCCACGAAAAATCGTGCTGTACATATGGACATGACCTGGCCATATGCCTCTCACAACCACACAGGTCACAACGCTTCCTTTCAGCACATTCTGACGCTGTGTGGCCTTCACTGAAGCAATTCCCACAGCACTGGCCCTTTTCGTATTCGTCACTGATATGTCCAAATTGAAAACAATTTCGGCAGTACCTGGGCTGTCCGGGATAAAATAGGTAACCCCTATTACCTCCGATTGAGAAGTTCTTGGGCGGGTGCATTAACCCATTTATACCGGTTGCATCTGCCTTTAAGACAACAAAGAACTTACGTTTCCCGTTGTATACACCGAACATGTTCACTTGCTTGAAGGGCTTGGAGACCGACGAACAATATCGACTCAAGAAGGCCGCAATTTCTTCGTCACTGACAAAAGGGTTAAACATATGTACAATTAATGGCAGTCTAGACAAAGAAACATGTGGTACAAAAGTAATACCTTCTGTTACAAAAGTCTGGAAATAACTATTACTGTTTGCTAACCAATGGATACTGTTTGTCCCTGTATAAGTTTAAAACGAAAGACGCACGAATGGATTACCCGAACCATTATAAGGACTCCATTCGTGGTACAAACAGGGGACCCCCCAGAACTTGGCGTGTGCCGCCAATTAACCCCGTCACCCCGCAAACTACTGAACGCTCGACCACACGGCCAGCGGCGTGTGGCAGCCATTAACCACCCAGGCGGCTGCGGTTTGCGGTTAACCACAACTTAATTGATAGGCCTGGGGGCATCGACGTTCGCATCCAAAATACCGAACGGGATCTACCGAACTACCAACCGAATGACGACCCCCTACAGTGGGCCGCGTGGCGATCATTAACTTGTGGTTTCTGCGGTTAACCGCAGGTCAAGTACCCTGCTACCAGGTGGTCCTCGTTCAAGTACCGAACGAGTTCCACTACCAGACAGACAGCGGGACTTCGCATGAACTGATCCCGCGTTTAGTTCCACGAGTTAGAAGCGAGGTCCCGCTGCCCGCTAAACCATCAAAAAACATGGCCGCCAACAGAGACTAACAATCCAAAATGCCGAACGGACTTTATAGGGCAGAAACAGTCCGTTCTGTTTGTGGGATTAGAGCGCCATTCGCATGTTTAACACAAGCCCTTAGATGAATGGTAGAATGAGTGGTTTCCCTGTAATAATGTAAAAGTTATAGATTTTCATGCAGTTTTCTGGGACATAATAAAACATGGTCTTTTGTGCGCTTGGAGATAATTAGATTGTAAAACCGTTGGCCTCATTATCTCCAAGCTGGGCGGGTACTAATTCAAATGATACAGTGTACTGTGGTCACCTGTTTGTACTGTACCTGTATTCCATCAGGTCCACAGGGGGCTGTCCTTGGACCTGAGGAATCACATAAATTGCCATGCTATGTGCCAGTAAAGCCAGTTCGTTTTGACCCTCAACTTGCAGCTTCGACTCATGTTGTAGGGATCCGGGATATTGATGCTTATATCATGCTTGGGGATATTCTACATTTGCAGCTTACCACCGAAAGACCTCCGTTCGGCTCTCTGCAGCGGGAACCAGGACATCCAAGCGATCAACCCTCCTGCTAGACCGGGGGCAATCGTAACACCTTCCAGCAAGAAATCTGTCACCTTCTGCCTTTCACGTTCCATCACCGTAGTCAACTGGTCCTGATTCATAAACGTGACGTCGTACATTCCCCTCGCGGGGAAATCTTGGATGCAAAACAACTACTCCCTGGGAACCTTCAACAAGCCTTCCAATATCTCCTTCTGGACTGTATGCAAGCTTACAGACCTTTTCTTTTCTTCGTTAACGTATAAACGCACAGTACGGGGATAAGAGGGCACAACTCTCTCCATCCTGGATCCCTCCTCGTTCCTAGTGACAGATCAGGTCGTCCCCCAATAGCAGCAACCGGACTGCGCCTCCCAATGGCAGACACAGCTGGAAGGCTGAGGGACTATTGTCTCCACACACCAGGACCTTCTGAACAGACCAGTTTTTACACTTGATCTTAGCCAAAAGGCCGAGAAGCGATAACCGGAATGGGCGCCCAGCTACTCACCTGCCATTCGCATGGGCTTCTTCAGCTTGTGGTGAGCCTTGGGCACAGTACCACCCACCTCTTCCTCATCTAGGTGTAAGCTGGCTACAAATAGCAACAGAGACACAATCAGTCACAGATGACGCAACCTCTGAGCCCTGGAAACACAGTTCCCCTTCTTAACCTTGTCTACTCCTCTATATGCTCTCCTCCAGACATACCTTGCACCTCTCTCTCTCCAGCTGCTACCGCTGATGAGCCTGATGAGGATGCTGGATCACCTGGTCTGTTCCTCTTCAGCTGCAAGTAGGGTAGATAGAGCAAGCAATTAAGCACCTGCTGGTTTGCTCACTCACTCAATGATTCCATTAATTAAACCGCATTGGGCATTTTGGTCTGAGAAATTTTTTAGTGCTCAAGTACCGACTGCCAACCATACATACATCAATGCACCCATACATACCCAGTAAAATAAATAAATAATAATAATGGGGGGGGGGGCTTATCTTCACTTTAACAGTTGGGGTTATGTTGATTGGGCTCAAGTCTCGAGGAAAAGAGGGGGGGGGCTAAGGGGTCTTAATCTCAGTCCTCCTCTCTTTCACCGAGGTTGTCTATGGTGTCAGTCTCTGAGCAGGCTGTGAATCAGCCAGCGGCAGTCTCGGATAGTGACTTGTTCCCTCCTCAACACCAAGCGATACCTGGCGAACCATAGGGCATACTTCACGCAGCACAGTAGGCGCCATGCGTCCTCAATTGCCCCTACTGTGTGTGTTCCGGGAAATAGTCCGTACAGAACAGAGTGGTATGACAGATGCTGTCTTTCGACTGAGTCTCTGAGTTCTCTTTCCAGGGCACACAGCAAAGCCTGTGCAAATTCGCACTGCCAGAAGAGGTGTAGAGAAGTTTCCTCCTCCACAATACACTGCGGACAATGTCTGTATCTGCACAGCCCCCTCGCATGCATGAATGTCCTTAGGGGGAGGCCTCCCTGGATGGCCATCCATGCCAAGTCTTTGTGTCTATTGGTCAGCCTGCCCGATGCCACATTTTCCCATACAGTCTCTGTTGTGGCGGCTGGCAGCCCTGGAACAGACTCTGTAATGTCTTGTGCTCTGATGAGTTTGTAGATCGCCTTAGGGATCCACAGTTCCGGTTTGACTCCTTCCAGATGATGTTCCTTCACAAACTTTCTCACATCAAGGTAATACCAAGGAGTGTTCCAGTTGTAAGGGATGGAGCTGTCCCACTTGTCCCAGCCCGGCCCTCTCCAGATGGGTAGGAGGAAAAAGCGGGACATGGAGTTACTGGCAGAGCGGTTTGCATTGTCTCTTAGGGTCCTTCGAACTCCGTTGCATACAAAGAAGGCTCGAAGCCAGGTGGGTATATCCGGCACTCCCTTGCCTCCCTTGCGGGGTTCTTTGTACATCACGGTGCGTTTCACTCTGTCCATCTTGGATCCCCAGATGAAGTAAAAAACTGCAAACAGCCATCAAAGGGGGCCACGCCTGGGCCGTGTACTGCAGAACAGGGAGGATCTCGTTCCGCAGCACCATTTTTTTTTCCTTCGATGGTAAGGTCTCTGAGGCTCCACAATCCATACTTCTGGTTCACTTTTGCCAGTCTCTCATCCCAGCTTTTTAAGGCAGTACCCTCGCCTCCAAACCAGACCCCTAGGATCTTAATGAGGCCTGTTTTGATGGGGAAGGTGAGAGGGTCTGAGGGTACATCCCACTGCCCAAACAGCATTGTCTCTGACTTCCCACAGTTGATCTTTGCTCCTGAAGCTCTGCTGAAGTTGTCGCAGGTGGACTTGAGCGCTCTCACTGCATGGTGGTTGGCGCAGAAGATGGTGACGTCGCCCATGTAGATCGAGCACTTGATCTCTTTTCCTCTGGTTCCCGGTGTGGTGATCCCTCTGATCTCCAGGTTCTGCCTGATGGACTCGGCAAAGAGCTCTATACAACAGACAAAGAGGAGAGGTGAGAGAGGGCAGCCTTGCCTGACCCTTGATCTGACCAGGAAGGGTTCAGTTTTCCAGCCATTCACCAACACAGTACTGCAGATATCACGATACATTAGGTTTACATAGGAGCAGAACACTTCCCCCAGACCAAACCTGCGCAGTGCTCTGTTCATGAATGTTACGATTGCCCCCGGTCTAGCAGGAGGGTTGATCGCTTGGATGTCCTGGTTCCCGCTGCAGAGAGTCGAACGGAGGTCTTTCGGTAGTAAGCTGTAAGTGTAGAATATCCCCAAGCACGATATAAGCATCAATATCCCGGATCCCTACAACATGAGTCGAGGCTGCAAGTTGAGGGTCAAAACGAACTGGCTTTACTGGCACATAGCATGGCAATTTATGTGATTCCTCAGGTCCAAGGACAGCCCCCTGTGGACCTGATGGAATACAGGTACAGTACAGACACATCCAATCACAATACAGTGTATCCTTTGAATTAGTACCCGCCCAGCTTGGAGATAATGAGGCCAACGGTTATACAATCTAATTATCTCCAAGCGCACCAAAGACCACGTTTTATTATGTCCCAGAAAACTGCATAAAAATCCATAACTTTTACATTAATAAAGACAAACCCCGCATTCTACCATTCATCTGAAGGCTCACGTTCGTGTAAATAAAACATGCGAATGGCGCTCTAATCCCACGAACAGAATGTACTGTTTCTGCCGTATGAAGTCCGTTCGGCATTTTGGGATTATTAGTCTTTGTTGGCGGCCATGTTTTCTGCTGTTTTAGCGAGCAGCGGGACTTCGTGTCTAACTCGTGGAACTAAACTCGGTATCAGTTAATGCGAAGTCCCGCTGTCTGGCTGGTGGTGGGCTCGTTCGGTAAGGAAATGAGGACCACCTGGGAGCAGGGTACTTGACCTGCGGTTAACCGCAAAATCCACAAGTTAACGAGCGCCACACGACCCGCTGTAGGGGGTCGTCGTTCGGTTGATAGTTTGGTATTTTCCCTTCGGTACTTTGGGTGCGAACGTCGATGCCCCCAGGCCTACCAATTACGTTGTGGTTAACCGCAAACCGCAGGCACCTGGGTGGTTAATGGCTGCCACACTCCGGGGGCCGGGTGGTCGACCGTTCGGTAGTTTGTGGGGTGACGGGGTTAAGTGGCGGCACCCGCCAGTTTGTGGGGGGTCCCCCGTTCGTACCACGAATGGAGCCTTCATAAGGGTTTGCATAATCCATTCGTGTGGTTTTCTGCTTAACTTATGCAGTGGCAAACAGTATCAATCGGTGAGTTAAAACAGCAACATAGTGATTTCCAGTCTTTTGTAACAATGAACTCGTGAGAGACACGATCAAAGGCTTTCTCCTGGTCCAGGCACACGAGTGCGGCCCGGACCCGGCGGTCCTTGATGTAATGGATCGTGTCTCTGACGAGTGCCAGGCTGTTGGAGATCCGGCGTCCTGGGATGCCACAGGTCTGGTCAGGGTCAATGACCACCTTCAGTCTGGTTGCTAAGACCTTGGCCAGGATCTTGTAGTCCACATTAAGGAGAGAGATGGGCCTCCAGTTTTTAAGGTCGCATCTCTCCCCCTTCTGTTTATACAAAATCGTGATCATACCCTCCCTGAGAGTGGGTGGTAGGCAGCCCGCCTCTGCCATCTCCTCATACAGGGCCAGCAGGTCCGGTCCAATGAGGTCCCACGGTGTTACGTATAACTCAGCTGGGAGACCGTCACCGCCCGGGGTCCTGTTTGGTCTAAAGGATCTGACTGCAATGTGCAGCTCTCCCAGGGTCAGGGGGACGTCTAGCACGGCTTTCCCTGCTGGGTCTACCGTCCTTGTGATACCCGAGAGGAATCTCTCGGCGGCATCATTGCAAATGTGCTTAGGGGAGTAGAGGTCCTTATAGTAGTCCGTTACTACCTTCGTGACCCCCTCTTTCCCCTGTTGCATATCACCTTTACCATCTTGCAGCTCCGACAAGGGTGTGTGGCCAGAGTGGAGTTTCCTGAAGAAGAAAGAGTTGCATTTCTCCCCCTTCTCAAGATTCTCCACCTTGGAACGAAAGATGATTTGCCTGGCTTCTTCCTCAAAGTGTCTTTTCAGACCCTCCTTGGTTTCCTCCAGCTCCTCACCCACGTCCCATCCACAGAGTTGAAGGTCCTGCAGAGACTGCAACTTTTGTTGCAGTCTCTGGAAGTACCTGTTCCTGGCAGCCGCTAGGCTTCTGCCTTTTGCCTGCCAGAAACTGCAGAGCCTGACTTTGGTCTGTTCCCACCATTCTGCCATGGTATGGAACTGACTCTTGTCAATCTGCCATCCCAGGTACGCAGTACGCAGCTCCTCCACAATTTCCCGTCTCTGCAGCAGGGTACAGTTTAGCTTCCAGGCACCTGGGCCAGGGGGAAAACCCTTTCCCAGTGTACACTCGAGCTCCACCGCCCTGTGATCACAGAAAAAGCAGGGAATGGTGGCAGAGCGTGCATGCTTAACTGTTCGGGATGTGAACACAAAGTCTATCCGAGAGCGCTGAGACCCATCTGGGCAGCTCCATGTATAATTTACAGAGCCAATCCCCATTGAGCCCACAGCATCCCTCATGGATGCCTCAGTGGTCATCTCCCTAAGCAGTTTGGAGGTTACATCTAGCTTGGCTGCGCTCTGGGAACTGCGACCTCCTTCCTCTATCGGACAGTTGAAGTCACCTCCCATCAAGACTGTTCTGGTAGTTGCGAGTTGGGCCCGCAGGGTTTGGAGTAGTTCCAAACGCTGTCTCTTCTCCGGCGAGGCGTACACGGAGATGAACCTCACTGGTTCCCCAGCCCAGGAGCCGTCCACGACTAGTAGTCGACCACAGACAAGCTCCCGGACAGAGTCCACTGAGAGGCATCCTCCCCGGATTAGGACAGCGGTACCTGCTGACTTGCACCCGTTCCCACCAGACCAGAAGGATGGTCTGTGCGTCCAGTCCCTGGCCAGGTGGCGGTAGGACTTTGAGAAAGGGATGGAACATTCCTGC